TAGTTTGCAATAATTCTTTAGCATTGTGGGTAGATGCACCTTGAAGAACATCACCCACGTTATTGTTTTTGTAATTAAGCACAAAGTTACACAATGGGCTATCTGTGCTCTGCCCACCACGGGTATCGAAACCAGGATTCTAGCGTTGTAAGTCCGCAGACATACCGCTGTGCCACTGGGGGGGGGGCGAGGGGATCTGACTGAGGTGTTTAAGAAAATGGTGACAATGATAAGACTAGAGGACACAAATTTAAATTTTGGCATGGTAAGAGTTTCTTCCGCTGGGTGGTTGACCTTTGAAATGGGTTATCGTCAGGTGTGGTGTATGCAGTTAATTTAAGGGAAGGCTTGACAAATATTTGAATGGTAAGGACTGGCTTGGAGTCTTTTATATTTATTTTTAGAGTTTAGCATAACGGATGGAACAGCTTAGATGGGCCAATAAGTCTTTGTTGTTTTCAAATTATATGTATGTATGGACATGTATGTATATATATGTGTGTGTGTGCTTTGCATTTCTCTTGTGTTCATTACATTATAAATATATTTCGTGCAAAAGAACTGTGATATATATATATATATATTCTTCTGTTCACACGTGTAATGGTGGAATTATATTGTTGAAAGGTCAGGAATCCATTATATACTACAAATACAGATGTTGCCTATGGTGCCATAATTATAGCACCTGGACAATACGCTACTGTATTAGTAATTCTTATAAAGTGCGATCAATCCTCCTTGTAAATTATGCTCTGCTCTGTTGGAAGAGTAAATTATTCAATTATAAAAAACATATTTTTGTACAGAGCCTGTAATAAGGGGACTCACGCTTTACTAGCCTTATATCACATTTTACAGTTTAATTAGTGCACGTATCGATACAAGATAAAATACTTAGTTACTAGCCTTATATCACATTTTACAGTTTAATTAGTGCACGTATCGATACAAGATAAAATACTTAGTTACTAGCCTTATATCACATTTTACAGTTTAATTAGTGCACGTATCGATACAAGATAAAATACTTAGTTACTAGCCTTATATCACATTTTACAGTTTAATTAGTGCACGTATCGATACAAGATAAAATACTTAGTTACTAGCCTTATATCACATTTTACAGTTTAATTAGTGCACGTATCGATACAAGATAAAATACTTAGTTACTAGCCTTATATCACATTTTACAGTTTAATTAGTGCACGTATCGATACAAGATAAAATACTTAGTTTATTGTAATGAGTACAGTGTTGCAGGTTTTAAATACATATTCGAAATTCGGAGCGTTCTGTTAAAATAGCATACAATATTACCGATGTTGTTTTCATAAAGTTTATCTGACATCATTGAACTTTAATCGATACTTTGCCACGTAAGAAAAGTCTTCACACACTCGTTTCAAAGTCTACTTTGTTATATGCTCAATCTGTGTTGAAATCATGCATATACAACTGAGGCACCCATCCTACGTCCAGGGTAATAACGATTAAATCATGCATATACAACTGAGGCACCCATCCTACGTCCAGTGTAATAACGATTAAATCATGCATATACAACTGAGGCACCCATCCTACGTCCAGTGTAATAACGATTAAATCATGCATATACAACTGAGGCACCCATCCTACGTCCGGGGTAATAACGATTAAATGTAGGACTTGAATTTTCTTGTTTCATTTGGTTGTTGTTTGGTCATGTGATTTGGGAAGATCAGGTACACCTAGACCTCTACCTCCCTCCTTGATTATTGATTTAGTTCTTGAGTGTTGAAGGAACCCCACATTAATTCTTCAGTAGAATACGGTCCGGTAGCAAGGAAAACTCGTTCTTACATCATGCAGTCACTGCATGCGCGTAGCAATAATTCATTCGCACACAAGAGTGACCCTTTTCAGTCCATGTCCATGAATGTATAACGCCGATTTTTCGAGTTCTCTGGTATAAACTTCTCTATTTTTGTCCACATAAACAGTTCCATAAATATTAATGGAAAACATATAGCATTAATCCTATTTTCACATAAATAAACCCTTTTAAAATATAATTAGCACTATATTTAGCTACCGGTTTGCCCAGTAGTAGGTGGCCAGGAATTACATAAGGAGTTTACTAGATTATATGATGAGAGGTATATAGGTCTATTATCATAATGTATGATAAAGTTTCTCAGCGTTAGTAATGATTCAGTTTTGTTAAGATTTTTGCGAATGTAATCTATTGATAGGGCTTGAACTAATAAATTAAATCC